GCAGTATAAATTAGTAATCATAATTCTTTCAGGTATTCATTCCCCCCCACCCCCAAACACAATCCTTTTGGGTTGCAGACAGTAGTTTCCTTAAACAGTGTTAAGCTCTGATTATGATCTTACTGGCAGTACAATTGCAAAATATTCTGATATACAGACTTGATAAATAATATGCATTATCTCAGCAGCCCTCCAATCCTTCTAAAATGCTCTTAGTTGCTTTTTTTGTTTGTTTAAACTTTTTTTGCTCATAGTGGTGCAACTGTGCTTCCACCAACAATTCACAAATTTATATTTGAGCCGCGGGAATTTTCAGTGTATCCATATTTGCTCAGTGAAAGGTCTATCTTTTGAATGTTTTTCCCCCCCTATTTAAGAAATGACTTTCAGTAGCCCTTCATGTCATGGATGGCACATGTCCTATAGGTGACAAGGCTGCTAGTGGTGTCGGCTTGTAGGGGCAGTAAAGAAAACGGGGATGGTTGAGTTGACCTCTGGGTTATGGCTTTGAATGATAGGTGTTTGTTGCACACAGAAATATTCCTCCTTCTAAAAAGCCGGGAGTCGGTACTGAAGTTTGCAATTTGCTAAACGTGTAATACCGCAGAGTTATCTTTCTTCCTTTTGTTTGTCTTTGGTCGATTTCTGATAATAGATTCTGACAATTGAGTTGTTGTTGTTTGCTAATTAAGTGTATTAATTTGAATTGCGTCTCTTCTCATTTCTTTCGGCTAATGGGGAAATCTGTGTGTTCTCTCACTTGCTACACAGTGTTCCTTTTGGCTCCCTCGCTTGAGGGCAACTAGGCTAGAACAAGCCTAGCCTCCTGATTCATTAAAGCCATGAATGACATCTGGAGTGTGTGCCGTTGACTCTCTGAAGGGCCGTATAAAAGTTTCGTTTGGAGTTGTTGTTTTATTAGCCCCAGAGTATTGTCGATCTCGTCAAACAGTCGCTTAGCTTTACAACAGAACGTGACAAGCATGCCTTGTGATTTCATGAGCCTGGCATTCAGAGAACAAGAATGGCAGTTTGAGTCGTATTTTTAACGAGGGCGAAAATAAAGCCACACAGAGAAGAATTTGTAGAAGGGTGTGATCTCACAGGAAGACATGTCGCGTGACAGTAAATAGTCGTCCCTTGAGATCTTCTCACTTCACAAATGAGATAAGTTTATCCTTTGGCCATAAGGGTAATGAGAGAGATCTTCTACAGAAATGCAAGGAGGTCTTAGCTTTGAAAAATCAACTTCCTTAAAAACCACACAACAGTTTTCTTCCCCGTTTTTGTTAAGGGCACTTACGGTAACTGCTGATCTGAATTTCCCCTGGAGAAATCTGATCCAAGCCATGCTGACCCAGAATCATGTAAGGCGATGTCTCCAGAATTTCTGGATATATACACTAATATTTAGAGGGTCTATATGCGCATGCTCATTGTATCATGGGATTTATAGTGTTGTGGAACCATTGTGGCATATGCAGTTGCATATTTCATGGTCACAACACAATGCAGGATTTATAACGAATTAGAAATGAGAGCATTGTCGGTCTCTCTCTCTTTTCTCTGTCCCCCAACACCCATTATGTGCAAGACAGCACATAGCTACACTATAGCATCATGAACTGAAATTGTGAACATAGATAACAGACAGGTAAACTACTATGTAAAAGTTCATCAAATAAAACTCATCTAATATGGCCTGATTTCTAGAACATTCTTATCTTGACCAACCCAACAATCCATTTCAGTACCTCCTTAGTCAGGGAACAACTCATTCCTGGTGATTGTCAATACCAGAACTGTCAGATGGACATTAAGCTAAACAATAAAAGAAAGTAATTCTTATTAAGGGATTTGTTAAGATGACAAAAGATGGCTTGATACCAAGCAGTTAACATAGCATAAGGATGTTAATATCACCGAATATATAATACTCACTGATAACCATGAAATAAAAGCCTTGTTTGGATACTCAAAAACATGGCAGATTTTAGTAGGACCACATAACTTTTGGAATAAGATTCCCTTGCTTCAAATCAGATGTTCTTTGTCATTTCAATGCAAGTCATGTTTGTGGCGGACTTCCCTTTGGAATGCCTTTTTCTCCCTCAGCTGACAAGTTTGTTATTTGGCTTTAGGCATGAAGAATCAGCTGTGGCAATTTCAAGATGTGCTGCTCAACAGTCCAGTCCATGCTTTCTGTGTTGATTTATGTAGTGAGAAAAGATTTTTCTTTTCTTTGCTCTCCTCCTTCTTCCAAATGGTAGACACGTTCTGTTCCGTTTATGTACACATGGCAATAAATCTTGATTTGTAGCTTCTGGTACCTAGAGAACAAGAAAACAAGACTTTCTTCATTAAAAACACTCTGCAAGCTGACAAAAAGCCTGCATGGTAATAAATAAGAAGGGTAAGCTGCAAGATTCCGCTTTGTCTGCAGTGCATGAGGTAGATAATAGAACCGCAGGATAAACTTAACATCAGTAAGGTCAGGGAGCACAGCTGAGCTATCTGACTTTGACCTGCTTGCATAACACAGGTCAGTTGCATTTCCTTCAGTCATTTTGCTGCATCAGGCTGGCTTAAGCTGAATTCTGCCAAAGTCATCTTCTGGAAGCATCTGCCATTTTTAGTTCTGAAGGGAAGCTAAGACCCTGGAGCAAGAGTGGAGAAACATTTGCAGCAGCCTGAGAGCCTAATAATAATAATTTATTATTTATACCCCGCCCATCTGGCTGGGCTTCCCAAGCCAATCTGGGCGGCTTCCAAAAAAATATTAAAATACTGTAATACATCAAACATTAAAAGCTTCCCTAAACAGGGCTGCCTTCAGATGTCTTCTAAAAGTCTGGTAGTTGTTGTTCTCTTTGACATCTGGTGGGAGGGCGTTCCACAGGGAGGGCGCCACTACCGAGAAAGCCCTCTGCCTTGTTCCCTGTAACTTGGCTTCTCGCAGTGAGGGAACCACCAGAAGGCCCTCGGTGCTGGACCTCTGTGTCCGGGCAGAACAATGGGGGTGGAGACGCTCCTTCAGATATACTTTTCGGGAGCCGGTGCGTAGAGCAACCAATGTAAATCCTACCATAGTAAAAAAAAAAGAAAAAGGTAAAGGACCCCTGGGTGGTTAAGTCCAGTCAAAGGCGACTATGAGGTTGCGGTGCTCATCTTGCTTTCAGGCCGAGGGAGCCGGCATTTGTCCAGCTTTCTGGGTCATGTGGCTACTTCAAAACAGCTTCTGGCACAACGGAACACCATGATGGAAACCAGAACGCATGGAAACACCATTTACCTTCCCGCTGCAGCCATACCTGTTTATCTACTTGCACTGGTGTGCTTTCAAACTGCTAGGTTGGCAGGAGCTGAGACAGAACAACGGGAGATCACCCCGTCGCAGGGATTCAAACTGCCGACCTTCTGATTGGTAAGCCCAAGAGGCACTGGGGTCTAAAACTGCATCCCCCTACTGGGACCTCTAGCCTCCCTCTGGACAAGCAAGAAGAATTATCAGAGTTCAAAGACACAGTCTACACTCAAAAGAGGGGGCAGGGCAGAGCAGGGGAGGGTGTGGCCTGGAGAGGGGGTGTGGCTAGGGGAAAAGGTGTGGTCTAAGAGTCCTAAGGGCCAGAGAGAGGGGGGGCGTGGAGGGTCCTCCAAGCCTGAGGTTCCCCATTCCGCTTGTTTTTCCTTGGTACTCTGTTGACTGTCAGGGACTGGATAGACAAGGATGAATGGTGGGAGGCTACAGCTGGGGGAACCCCCTGAGAAGCATCAGAGTGGTGAGGCTCTGAGCCAGGATTATGGTCCCAGGATACAGAAGATAGGTCAGAGGAGGAGGCAGTGGGTGGACAGATAAGAGGCTGAGGAAGCAGTAGATTTAAGTGAGAGCGAAGCAGAGGAGACTGAGGCTGCGACAGATCCCCAGATATTCCAGTTCTACTGTTTCCTTCTCCCCTGCTCATCTGTCTCCAAGAATGAGGAGGATGTTACATGCAGTAGAACAAAAAGCACAGAGAAGCCGTCTTCGAAGGAGTTTGCGACTGTTGGGTAGGCAGCCAGCTGGGGAGGAGCCTTTGGAGGAAATTGGAAGCTCAGATCCTCAGTTCCAGCAACTGCTTCATCGGGCTAGTCCTGCCTGTGGGGTTCTCTGTTGTGTTTTGTCCCTCTGAATAAAGAACCAACCTTCCTGCTCATCTCCCGAGTTTCTGTGCTGAACTGCAGCTGAGCCAGCCCTGATGTTGACATGGGAAGACCAGTCTGTGCCTTATTAGGAGCATAGCATTTGTTCAAAGATTCTGGGTGCTGAAATGGTCTCCGGAAGGAAGAGGAAGAGGCCAAAAGTACCATATTTTTCGCTCTATAAGACGCACTTTTTCCCTCCTAAAAAGTAAGGGGAAATGTGTGTGTGTCTTATGGAGCAAATACAGGCTGCGTGACTGTCCCAGAAGCCAGAAAAGCAAGAGGCTATCCCAGAAGCCAGATCCTTCTTGCTGTTCTGGCTTCTGGGATTCAGAATATTTTTTTTCTTGTTTTCCTCCTCCAAAAACTAGGTGTGTTTTATCGTCTGGTGCGTCTTATAGAGCAAAAAATACGGTAACTTTGAGCAAGTGCTCAGGCCAGGACAGATGGAGGTTGACGGAGGACTTTGCAAGACTGAATTACAGAAGTGGCCATGAGGATTGGTTCCAGCAGTATTTCAGCAGCCTTGGTTTGTGCTAAACAAAACAAAATCCTTGCGGTGCTCACTGTAATGTTGGAGTCACAAATTTAACTTGTGGCTGTGCCGCTGCTGGTTGTTTTCGCAGCATGACCACCAGTCTTAAGTGATTTTGTTGGGTCTAATGTTACCCTGGTCATGTCAACAAGCTGCCTGTATGACAAGGCTTTGCTTGTATAAATCGGCTGCCAGCATGTCACCATGATAAATGATAGAATCCTAGAGATGGAAGGAGCCCTGAGGATCATCTAGTCCAATCCCCTGCAATGCAGGAATAGGCAGCTGCCCCTTACGGGGATAGAACCTGCAGCCATGGCATTATAAGCACCACGGTATAGCCAACTGAGCTAAACGAGTGGAAAAAAAGTGCTAATTCGTAGGCAGAAAAAGAAGAGTTTGGATTTGATATCTCGCTTTATCACTACCCGAAGGAGTCTCAAAGCAGCTAACGTTCTCCTTTCCCTTCCTCCTCCACAACAAACACTCTGTGAGGTGAGTGGGGCTGAGAGACTTCAGAGAAGTGTGACTAGCCCAAGGTCACCCAGCAGCTGCATGTGGAGGAGCGGAGATGCGAACCCGGTTCCCCAGATTACGAGACTACCGCTCTTAACCACTACACCACACTGGCTCACTGCCTGAGCCTGTTCAGTGGGAATACAGTGGTACCTCGGATTAAGTACTTAATTTGTTCTGGAGGTCCATTCTTAACCTGAAACTGTTCTTAACCTGAAGCACCACTTTAGCTAATAGGGCCTCCTCCTCCTGCTGCTGCGCTGCCGGAGCACAATTTCTGTTCTCATCCTGAAGCAAAGTTCTTAACCTGAAGCACTATTTCTGGGTTAGCGGAGTCTGTAACCTGAAGCGTATGTAACCTGAAGCATATGTAACCCGAGGTACCACTGTAGTTGGAACTGTTGTTCTGGGAGCGTCTATTTAAAACCCTGGTCAGGAAACTGGTCAGGGGCAGAATTCTGGCAATTAGTAAATCAGAGCTGACGAGTAGGGAGTGAGCTTCCTGACCACATTCCACAGATGGAAGATGGTGTGCCAGAGAATATTTTCCTAAATGATAACCGATAGATCATTCCTCCCTTTTCATCTATTGCTCACATGCTTCCTTTGTCAAGGAAGTGCAAGGGATATAGAAAGTTTTACTGCAGCCAGCTTTTGAAATGGCAGGCGTATCCTGACACTTGCTGGAGACCGGTAATCAGCACGACACATCCAGTTTGTGGTTTATTTAGAGAGATGACCCCTCCATGCCCTGCCATTCATCTTGCTTGGGCAGCCTATTCTGTCTTCAAGTGTGCCCGGTGCCTCAATAGTAGAGCATGAAAACAGGAGTCCTTCCTCCTCCTCATCCTGCCCTTTTATTTGACCCCAGCAACTGGTATTCAGGGGTAGAGTGCCTCTGAAGATGGAGGTTTCATTTAGCTTTTACGGTTTATAGCAATGCACTGAACTACCCTCTGAATTTGTACAGTTAATGTAAAACCATCGCAGCTAGTAATCATCAGCTCGTAGAAAATGCGCTGCAAATTTTGCACCCTGTATATTAGTAAAGGTAAAGGGACCCCTGACCATTAGGTCCAGTCGTGGCCGACTCTGGGGTTGCAGCACTCATCTCGCTTTATTGGCCGAGGGAGCCGGCGTACAGCTTCCGGGTCATGTGGCCAGCATGACTAAGCCTCTTCTGGCGAACCAGAGCAGCACACGGAAACGCCGTTTACCTTCCCGCCGGAGCAGTACCTATTTATCTACTTGCACTTTGAAGTGCTTTCGAACTGCTAGGTCAGCAGGAGCAGGGACCGAGCAACGGGAGCTCATCCCGTCACGGGGATTCGAACCACCGACCTTCTGATCGGCAAGCCCTAGGATCTGTGGTTTAGGCCCTGTGTATTAGCAGGGCGCTAATACGGTGACCTTTATATTCAAGCTTCTACTAGCTACCCACCTTTTTGGGGTTCCATTTGTTTTGGGTCGAGTAGCTCTTTCATGTTATCTTATTTTAACCCGTGTGTAGTTTTAAAAATGATTTGTTTGCTTGTTATTAGAAACCAAGCTACCCTTGTGGATGAGGTGTTCATTACGGACATATCTGGCATTAAAATCTACAACTTGGCAAGGGAGGGGAATAATCTTGTTGCAAGGTAATGAAGAACATTTGGAAATACCATTAAGGGCGCATGATACCTCAAAAGCCCAGTCCCAATTTTTTATGAACACCCAAGGGAAAACACCTTCCTTTGAAGTAAGAAAACTTAGCGGAAGTTCTATTGCTTGTTAAAGTGATGTACTAATTTCCTTCCCATCCACAGTATGTGCACATGCATACAATGACATACCGTATTTTTTGCACCATAACACTCACTTTTTTCCTCCTAGAAAGTAAGGGGAAATGTCTGTGCGTGTTATGGAGCGAATGCCTGCGGGTGGCGGAGGGGATATGCTGCAGTCGTGAGCAGAGGATCCATGGTTCCCCTTCCTTCCCTCCTCCGTGGCTCGCTTTGAAACAGCAAAGCGGGAGAAGAGCCGCGGAGTGGGGAGGAGAGAGGGACAGAGAGCCTGCTTCTTTAAAGGAGCAAAGCGGGAGGGGAGAGGAGCCTTCTCCCCTTATACCCCTCTTCTTCATTATTAGCAGCATCCTTCTCCACCCACCCCACGCGTGCCTCTTCTCCCCTTAAACCCCTCTTCTGCATTATTAGCAGCATCCTTCTCCACACACCCCACGCGTGTTCCTTCTCCCCTTAAACTCCTCTCCTGCATTATTAGCAGCATCCTTCTCCACACACCCCACGCGTGTTCCTTCTCCCCTTAAACTCCTCTCCTGCATTATTAGCAGCATCATTCTCCACACACCCCACGCGTGTTCCTTCTCCCCTTAAACTCCTCTTCTGCATTATTAGCAACATCCTTCTCCACACACCCCACGCGTGTTCCTTCTCGCCTTAAACTCCTCTCCTGCATTATTAGCAGCATCCTTCTCCACACACCCCACGTGTGTTCCTTGTCCCTTGAGTGCTTTTCCTTCCCTCCCCACTTAAAATGTGGTTACAAAGCACGGATCCACATGGATCCTCAGGATTTTTGCACTGAGTCACCCCAAATTCACCATCTGATCACATAGCATGTCCATGGCTACAGCTTGCACCAAAAAAATCACGCACCCACTGTTGCCTGGGGCCGCAGTGGTGCAAAAACGTGGTTATAAAGCATGGATCCACATGGATCCTCAGGATTTTTGCATTGGGCTACTCCAAACTCACTGTCAGATCACATGTCTGTGGCCACAGCATGAACCACAAAAATCATATATCCACTGTTTCGTCTAGAATATTTTTTTCTTGTTTTCCTCCTCTAAAAACTACGTGCGTGTTATGGTCTGGTGCGTGTTATAGAGCGAAAAATACGGTATATCATACCTTATAACCAGTGCTTTTTTCCTAGAAAAATAGGTGCCAGTACTCAATGAAGTTGTTATAGTAAGTGCCATACTTTTTAACAACAACAGAAAAGTGCCGGTACTGAGTACCACAGAGTACCCCCAGGGAAAATCACTACTTAAAGCAAAGCTTAGCATACATATAAAAAAGTCTCCTTTATTATGGCCTTTATTGGGCCAGGGGTTATCCACCCCTGAGTTAGACCAATAAACATGCAACATAATAAACTAGCATAGAGCTACTGCTCTAAAAAGCCTTTATGAAAAAAGATAGTGCCAGCACATTCAGATTTAAAAGAACCTCCTGAATGAAAGTGCTTCCAACGTGTGTTTAAATGCACAAAGAAAGTGGACTGCCTGGATTTTCCCAGGGAGAGCATGTCGTAGTCTAGGTGCCACTGCAAAAAAAGTCCCCATCTCTGGCACTATCCAAACAACTTCTCATTCAGCGTGAGACCAGAAAGCAGGGCCTTAAGGTGTTTTAAAACCAAAGCAAGTTTCTGTGTTTTGTATTGGTCTTTGGTCTTTTGCCTGGAGCACTTTCCTGTGGAAAGGGGTTATAAATAGCTGTAGAGAAAGTTGTGGCAATCCACTGCAGTAGCAAGGGCCGTGGATCAATCTCAATGTGACTGGTGTGAACATTCATTTATTTATTTTTATTTTTTTTAAAAAAAAATTATTCAAAATTATAACAAGACATATTATCCAAAAACTTATCATCCTTGTTTCCCCCCCCCCATTTTCCCTCCCTCCCCCCTCCCACACAAAACCCCCCACCCACCCCACCCCCCGACTTCCCTCAGTTCCAGTCTTTGGTTTCTCTGAGACTGCTATTTTCTGCATGTTACAAAGTTGTATAGATCCTCAAGCTATTTAGCTGATTATTATCAATAAAAAGTTTGTGAATGTTTATTCAAAACCTGCCAGGGAGTCCACTTCGCTTTGTTGCGTCCTCAGATACTTTGTAAAGGGTTCCCATTCATCCTTAAATTCACAGTTATCCTTGTCCCGTAGCTTATATGTCAGTTTTGCCAGTTCTGCATAGTCCGTCAATTTTTCTTGCCATGATTCTTTAGTTGGGGTTTCTTCAGTCTTCCATCCTTGTGCTACCAGAACTCTCGGTGTGAACATTCATTTAGAACAAGGTGGGGTGTCTCAGGCCTGGGGGGCCAAATATCCTCCCCTACCTGGCTGTTGGGACTCCCCCCAGGCTACTCCAGTGCAGATCTGACCCATAGAATTGTAGAGGACTCTGAAATCATCTAGTCCAACCCTTGCAGTGCAGAAATCTTTTGTCCAATGTGGGGCTCGAACCCTGGACCCAGGACCAACTGAGCTGTCCAGCAGACATTGTTTCTACCCTTTAGCTTCTGGAAGTAGCAGGATAACAGCCCATCAGTGCTCCTGTCGTAGCAATGCACCAGCCTGTCAGCTCTTGCAGTCCATTAGAGCAAGTTCCCAAAGGCGTAGTTTATTGAATTTCCTCTCTGTGTTGTCTAGTCAAGTGTCACACTTTGCGGCTATTCCTTCTAGGGCTAATAGGTTTTTGTTGTTGTTGAGATTACTTCACCCAGATAGGAATACCAGTAATAAATGCTACATGGTGGAACCCGCTTAATGAAAATGACGTTAAATGCCCGCAATGGCTCTTCATGTTTTAATTAATATGCTCTGAAGATGGCAGGGTTATTTATAGAGTGGGTAGTTTTACTCCTGTGAGAGGAATCTTTATTCAGAGATACTGGCTTGTCGTGTCTACCACGTTGTGTGTCCATTAGTTATTACAGAACAATGAGTTGCTAAAAAGCTCATCTTGCTCGCTTAGCTAATATGTATCCCCACGAACAATTAAGTTTCTCTATGTTCTTAACAGATTGATGGGTACATCTTGGTATAAGCCAATTACTATTCCCAGAGCCAATATTTTTAAAGGGTAGAAAACAGTACCCAAAGCATTGAAGTTCATTTTCTTGCCTCCTTTGGTTAATCTGAACCAAGTGCTCATGGCAAATTATTATTATTATTATTATTATTATTATTATTATTATTATTATTTTCTACACTGCCCATCTGGCTGGGTTTTCCTAAATGTTCCTCAAACTTCTGATATAGCTGAGGCCTGCTAGTGAATTAAAATTATAGGTACATTGCCCTCTTATGCCAACACCGATTAATTTTAAAGAGTTTATTTCAGAGAAGCCTACTGCCTCCATCTCTGCATGGTCTTTTCTGAATTGAGGGAAGTTATTCCAAAGCTGTGGCTCAAGCAGAGTTGCAACAGGAACCCTCCTCTCTGGACTGATACCTTGAACTCTCATTTAGCCAGATTATTTCTCAGAGCATTCTTTTATGCCACATCACACATGTTGAAGATGATTGGCTCTCCATCTTAAAAGCCTTTGGTGTATTTCTACCAGAGCAACTTAACGATTTAAAGCATGATATAGTTGTTGTTTAGTCGCTTAGTCGTGTCCGACTCTTCATGACCCCATGGACCAGAGCAGGCCAGGCACTCCTGTCTTCCACTGGTCAAACTCATCCTGGTAGCTTCGAGAAACTATCCAACCATCTCGTCCTCTGTCATCCCCTTCTCCTTGTGCCCTCCATCTTTCCCAACATCAGGGTCTTTTCCAGGGAGTCTTCTCTTCTCATGAGGTGGCCAGAGTATTGGAGTCTCAGCTTCAGGATCTGTCCTTCCAGTGAGCACTCAGGGCTGATTTCCTTAAGAATGGATAGGTTTGATCTTCTTGCAGTCCATGGGACTCTCAAGAGTCTCCTCCAGCACCATAAAATGGCTTAGTGATGATCTTACAAGCCAGAAAGGCCTTCTTGGTTCACTTGTGAGTCATGAACTCGCTAAACATCTTTGGGCAAACTGTTAACTTTTGTGAAGGTTTCCCTTCGATATCCTCCTTTCCCCTTGGCAATACAGGCAGGTGCCTAACTACTTGCTTTAAGCAGCCATCCATGTTTATTCAAACATGGTTTTGGGATTATCAGGTAGCAAGCCATCCTCCTTGAGCCTTGGACCTTTTCTCAGGAAAACAAAATTTAATATTTCAGTGCATTACCTTTCATTGGCAAGGATCTGTCCATGGAAGGGAAAGAATATAAGGAATGTTGACCTGTCCCTTGATACCATTTAAAGCAGGCATCCCTAAACTCGGCCCTCCAGATGTTTTGGGACTACAACTCCCACCATCCCTGACCACTGGTCCTGTTAGCTAGGGATTATGGGAGTTGTAGTCCCAAAACATCTGGAGGGCCGAGTTTGGGGATGCCTGATTTAAAGATTAAAAAAACAGTTCTCATAAATGTACCCATGCAATGAGGATGTGGCCATCAATCTGTTAGGAACATAGGAAATACCTGCAGTTCATAAACTGTTGGTGGTTTCTGTTTTGCGTTTGATTAAAAATTGAAAAACAAATCAGTCTGAAGATAAAGCAAAAAAATTTTGGAACTGTATTTCAGGCAACCAGACTGCCAAAACCTGTAATTAATGTGGGCACAGTGTGGTCTAAATAATAAAACACAGGGCTTTGTTATGTATCAGTACATAAATCAATTGCATTTAGAGAGCACAGAGATGGAGATTTAATTTAGAGAAAAAATTTTCACCCTGTGGAAATGGGTTGTCAAGAAATTGATAGAATACCAGCCTTGAGAGATTTTGCTATCTGAAGACCAAATTACAAAGAGATGAAGCTGACCTTTGTAAATTGCATTTTTCAAGCTGCCCTAAGTGCCGCTGAAGCCAGGAATTCTTTGCATATGAATTCATTTAAGTGGGTTACCTTTTCCTGCTTTTTTATTCATTAAACTACCAGCACCTTTTCCTCAGGTTAAGGCAGTTTGTAAGCCAGATTTTGTCTGCAGTTCGCCAAAGCGCTTGGACACCCAGAGCCAGGGAATCGCATTACTAGGGCAAAAGAAAGGACCTTATCTTGCAAGGCGCCTAAAGGCAAAACATTGGGCCATGAGGGATAATGAATCAGTTAAGGACATTGTTAGTTTGTAGTAGGTATAGGGTCAAGTATTACAGGTAACTGAGGCATAGGACTGAATTTGAAGAATCAGGAATTTCAAGGGCTCCACTATGACCTTTGAAAAACAAAGGGGCTGACAGGCACCTTGTTGACCACTGTGAGGAGAGGACTCATCATCTGTGATTCCTGCACCACGGGGGGTTGGATCACATGAAGCTTTGGGTCTCTCACAACTCTGTTTAGTCTTTTAGTCATGTCCGACTCTTCGTGACCCCATGGACCAGAGCACGCCAGGCACTCCTGTCTTCCACTGCCTCCTGCAGTTTGGTCAAACTCATGCTGGTAGCTTCGAGAACACTGTCCAACCATCTCATCCTCTGTCGTCCCCTTCTCCTTGTGCCCTCCATCTTTCCCAACATCAGGGTCTTTTCCAGGGAGTCTTCTCTTCTCATGAGGTGGCCAAAGTATTGGAGCCTCAGCTTCAGGATCTGTCCTTCCAGTGAGCACTCAGGGCTGATTTCCTTAAGAATGGAGAGGTTTGATCTTCTTGCAGTCCATGGGACTCTCCTCCAGCACCATAATTCAAAAGCATCAATTCTTCGACGATCAGCCTTCTTGATGGTCCAGCTCTCACTTCCATACATCACTACTGGGAAAACCATGGCTTTAACTATACGGACCTTTGTTGGCAAGGTGATGTCTCTGCTTTTTAAGTTGCTGTCTAGGTTTGTCATCGCCTTTCTCCCAAGAAACAGGCATCTTTTAATTTCGTGACTGCACTCACCATCTGCAGTGATCATGGAGCCCAAGAAAGTAAAATCTCTCACTGCCTCCGTTTCTTCCCCTTCTATTTGCCAGGAGGTGATGGGCCAAGTGGCCATGATCTTCGTTTTTTTGATGTGTTTTAATGTTTTTTTTACAACTCTACGAGTCTATGAATCTGTGATTATCATCATAAGACAAAGTCAACATAACATTCAAGCAGCCCATACTTCAGTTGCAGGAGTATCCGTATTTCAGCAAGTAAAAAGATCAAGCTGTCGCTTTAGTATTGGAGGCAAAATTACGTAACCACTCTGCAGAAATTCTGCATAAAGTCTCTGGAGCCGCAACGTAAAGCTTTGGAGCCGCAACGTAAACACACACACACATACACCTTTCCACAAGGAGCACTCTTCATATTCAGTTCAGTAGCTGAAGGCTTTTCGATAGCCCTGAGAAGCCTCAGCATGTAGCTCCCCCAAGGAACAGTTGCTGACACTGACTACATTTCATTTTCTTCTAAAGCACAGTGTCTGCCCAGTCCATATAACCAGCTAAGCACATTTTAGAGTTAGTTCTCTATAGAAAGACCCTCCCACATAAACATTGGAATTGAAGCACATGCAACCTTTCAGCCTATAAATTCTTCCAGCAGAGTAGAAATTCTTTATTCTGTTTTTCTTTATTTTTTTAATATTTTGGGGCTATTTACCAAAAAACTCATAGAAATATGAATCGTAGAATTGTAGAGTTGGAAGGGCTCCTGGGGTCATCTAGTATAACCCCCTGCAATGCAGAAATATGCAAGTGGCCCTTATGGGGATCGAACCTGTGACCTTGGCGTTACCAGCACCACACTCTAACCAGCTGAGCTAACTGGCTACAGGACAAGGAAGCTTCCACCTCCACCCCCTCATACAGATTAGTAGTAATAGTAGTAGTATCATTATCTAGAATGCCGAGTCTTCTGGCAGGTTAAAGACTAACAAAGGTATTATGGTATGTACTCTTTTGTGGTCTAGAGCCCATTTTCTCAGTGCATGAAGTGGTCACCTAGGTAGGTAAAGTATATGTGCCATCAGTAAGGTAAAAAAAGAAAAGAAAAAGTTAAAGGTTCCCTGGACAGTTAGGTCCAGTCAAAGGTGACTATGGGGTTGCGGTGCTCATCTTGCTTTCAGGCTGAGGGAGCCAGCGTTTGTCCAGAGACAGCTTTCCAGGTCATGTGGCCAGCATGACTAAACCGCTTCTGGCACAACGGAACACTGTGACAGAAGCCAGAGCGCATGGAAACACCGTTTACCTTCCTGCCACAGCAGTACCTATTTATCTACTTGCACTGGTATGCTTTCGAACTGCTAGGTTGGCAGGAGCTGGGACAGAGCAATGGGAGCTCACTCGGTCACAGGGATTCAAACCGTCAACCTTCCAATCGACAAGCCCAAGAGGCTCAGTGGTTTAGACCACAGCACCACCTACATCCCATCAGTACAGAGAATGAGGGTGGGGGAATAGTAGTGGTAAGTGTTTGCTCTTTTCATAAAGAGTGGCCGAAAGGCCGCATAATGCAAGAGATCAGTATGCAGAGCACAAATGAAATGGAGGTCCATTCAAGAGAGTAAATAAATCCACTGAATGGATTTGACCTCCCTCCCAACAGCTGATGCATTGGCAAAACAAAGTTTGCAGAAACCCCTGAAGACAGTGAACTAGTTTATGTGATGAGCTTTGAGCATCAGTCTGATAGAGGAGGAGAAGGAGAAAGATGGAATAGATGATTCTTGCGGTCCCTGCCAGCTCTACAATCGTACGATTCTAAGAAGAAGCAATTGGGACTTTCCCACTGTGCTCTACCCCTCTTTAAAGATGCTCTTTAAAGATGCACTCCCCAACCCTTTTTCAAATCTGTTTATACCATTTTAAAAAAAATATGTGTTGAGAGTATTCAGCCCTCAGATGCAGTTTCTGCACCAGCGTAAAGCAATGCATGAAAACTGCAGATCAGTTGGGGATTGCATTTCTTCAATTTGTAGAGCTGCAAGGACAGTAGCTCTGGCCAAGGTCCAGGAAGAACCTTTTCTCCAGATAAAAAGGAGGTATTCCAACAGCTAAACTGCTTGGCCTCGTGCAATATTGATCAACGTGAAGTTTCTTCTGTCCAGCAAAGATTGGCCGGCTGCAGTGCATTTTCAACAAGCTCTTTGCTGTAGAGTCCAGGATCTTCTCCTCTCCCCCAAAGTACAATTCAGATATCCATAAGAAACTTGACAGGGGCCAGGCATTGCTCAGAAGTGTGTTCTCCAACAAATGCATATTGCTTTGCTGCAGTAAGGAACTTCTGTCCCACAGGCTTAGAAAAAGCTGCAGCTCAGTGTTTAAACCATGTTGCGAAAGCTGCTCTGACCTCCAGCTTCATGCAAAATTTATCTTGTTTGATGTATTCATCGTGTTAGGGAAAGTCTCGAAAGAGAGAGAGATTGATCCTTCAGCAGCAGCGAAGAGAACTGTGCAAACTGGCCGTGTTGTTGGCGGTGGGGGTGCTCCTCTGTTTCTGGTAACTAAAGAACCAATCAAGGTAAAAGGAAAAGGGAGCCCTGACAATTAAGTCCAGTTGCAAACGACTCTGGGGTTGCAGCGCTCATCTCGCTTTACTGGCCGAGGGAGCCGACGTTTGTCCGCAGACAGTTTTTCCGGGTCATGTGGCCAGCATGACTAAGCCTCTTCAGGCGAAACCAGAGCAGCGCACAGAAACGCCTTTTATCTTCCCGCCAGAGTGGTACCTATTTATCTACTTGCACTTTGACGGGCTTTTGAACTGCTAGGTTGGCAGGAGCAGGGACCGAGCAACAGGAGCTCACCCCATCACATGGATTCAAACAGCTGACCTTCTGATTGGCAAACCCTAGGCTCAGTGGTTTAGACCACAGCGCCACCCGCAAGGTTGCAAGGACGTCTAAGCATAAGTCTTACATCCTAATGTGAGTCTTTGCAGCCCTTTCCCCTCTCCGTTTTCAAAACAGCATCATGCCCTCCAACATTTCTCCGATGAAAATAGAGACGTTCCATTCCATAATGATAATTTCACTGTTTATACTCCACACATCTGACCGGGTTGCCCCAGCCACTCTGGGCAGCTTCCAGCATATGTTGTTGTTTAGTCGTGTCCGACTCTTCATGACCCCATGGACCAGAGCACTCCAGGCACTCCTGTCTTCCACTGCCTCCCGCAGTTTGGTCAAACTCATCCTGGTAGCTTCGAGAACACCGTCCAACCATCTCGTCCTCTGTCGTCCCCTTCGCCTTGTGCCCTCCATCTTTCCCAACATTAGGGTCTTTTCCAGGGAGTCTTCTCTTCTCATGAGGTGGCCAAAATATTGGAGCCTCAGCTTCACGATCTGTCCTTCCAGTGAGCATTCAGGGCTGATTTCCATCAGAATGGACATGTTTGATCTTCTTGCAGTCCATGGGACTCTCAAGAGTCTCCTCCAGCACCATAATTCAAAAGCATCAATTCTTCGGCGATCAGCCTTCTTTCCAGCATATATAAATACATAATAAAGCATTTTTAAAAACTTTCCTGTACAGTCAAACCTCTGTTGTCGAACGTAATCTGTTCCAGAAGACCATTTGACTTCTGAAACCTTTGACAACCAAGGCGCGGCTTCCGATTGGTTGCATGAGCTTCTGGCACTCCAGTGGAAGCTGTGTTGGACGTTCGGGTTCCGAAAAACATTAAAAAAACAGAGCATTTACTTCCGGGTTTTTGGCATTCAGGAACTAAAACATACGATACCGGAGGCATTCGGGAACCGAGTTTTGACTCAAACAACTTGGGAGACAGATAACTCCATACCCTCCAACGTTTCTTCAGTGAAAATAGGGACATCCTAAGGAAAAGTGGGACATTCCAAGATCAAATCAGCAACCAGGACGACTTCTCTTAATCAGGGACATCCCTGGAAAATAGGGACACTTTGAGGGTTTGCAGCATCAATTAGAGGCAAGAAACTGAGCTTAGTCTTTCTGCTGGGGAAGGCTTAAGGGCTGACCTCTCAGAATACTGGATTAGGTGGGAGCTTTAGTCTGATTCTGCAGGGCTGCTCTTAAAATTCCTACATTCTAACACATTCCAGTTCCAGGCTTCTGTGAACGGAATGTGAGGCTGGCTTATTGGTTCAGCAAGCTATCTCAAGATGGTAAGAAATATGATATGGATAGCTCAATTGGGTAGCCCATGGTGCTGATAATGCCAAGGTTGCAGGTTCGATCCCTGTATGAGATAGCTGCATGTTCCTGCATTGCAGGGGGTTGGACGAGATGATCCACAGAGTCCCTTCCAGCTCTGAAATTTTGTGGTTCTGTGAGTCAGACACTCCTTTCCCTCCACTGGGGCTTGGAGGACAATGAAATCATAACAAGCAGATGAAAGGTGCAGTCTGCTTAAGCACAATGCTGGTTTGATTTCTCTAAATGCATCCATGGCACCTTCGCTTATAAGAACTATAATAATATTGTTTGGGGGGTTGTTGTTTTGTTTTTTTGTTGGGGGTAAATTTCTGGCATGACTCTTTTTTTTACTTGCGCGAAGAAAAACATCTGAAAGTTCTCGTGCAAAATCAACATAGATTTACAGTGAAAATGAGTGAATGTAAGCTTCCATTCTTGCTTGCTCTTGTTCCCCATTTCTGTCCTGCAAAAAAATTAGCATTGATCTTGGTTTCATATACAGCCTTTTCCTGTGGGGAGGGGAATCTTCCATTGGCAACAGACTTTTATAACCCCACAAAGCCTTAAAAGTTGTGCGGCCAGTGTCTGCTTGGACACACCGGTAAGCAGTGTAGTTGTTTGAACTTCAAGACGAGTGTGCCTCGCCTCTCTCCAAATAAATATCACATCAGAAGGGCTTTTGTTTAAAACCGTATTCTGAGTCCACCTAGCATTTAAGCAGAAGTGACAGGGGCCCCTGCTGTCTGCAAGCTGGCTTTCTGCCGGCAGCCCTGTCATTTGATGCTGTCCACCAGGTTTCTCCATCTTTTGTCCCTCTTTTCAAAGCTGCTGATTAAAAAAAGGAAAACCCTTTCTTACTAAAAGCAGCTGACACTAGTGCTTTAGCTTCCTGACTTGTTGGGGGTGATGCTACAGAGCTGCATGATGTCAACCGGAGCCAGAGGAGAGGCACTGTGTTAATTGCTCGGCAAAGATAGTAGCTGTCAGATATAGAATGAAATATTGCTGCACGTTTGGCTCTTGGAAAGAACCTCACGCCCCCCAACCCAACCCCAGATCAACGAGCTGAGCACTCCAGGCAGCAGAATCGAACCATCAGGCACTTGCATAGATTTAAAAAACCCCACCATAATTATTTCTCATTCGCCTTCTTACAAGGATAGCTTCATCCGCTGAATTGCTACCTCTTCCAGTTGTGGGTGCTACAATTAGGAGGAGATCATCAGCAGGGCTGCTTCTGACTTGACTTTCCTCTGTTTACATTCTGAAAGTGGTGCAGCCAGAAAATGGCTTTGGAAGGATGTCTTTGTAAGGTATAAATGCTGAGGTACAAGCCTGGGACTTTCCCCCGGCAAGGTTCCCAGTTTTCATTGCCGTTCGACATATTTCATGTAGGCCCATGCCCAGCCACTCCTACGTTGCAATGAAGGGTCTCTGTTGACATTTTCTCTTTGCTTTCCTACTTTCATAAAGCTAACGACACAAGGGGGACTTCGCTCATATAAGCAGGCATTCAGTTTGAAGGAAGGAACCTTTATGTTACATATTGAAACAAGCTGTTTGTTGGTCTTCCTAGCCCAGGACTTGTTCACTTCGCTTGCTCAAGTCAGTGAAACACAAGCAACAGTTTTAAATGAACTTGGGAGTCGACTGAAAGGGAAGCACGTGGAATCAGTTTGCAAGCAAACCTTGATTGGGCATCTTTTGCAGACAGTTAATGCATCATCTAGAATGCAGAACATTTGGATGTGTACGCACCTGCGCATGTGTGATGCTGCCAGTACCTTTTGTCTTTCTGATAAGTTCTACAAAATTTGGCAAATAAATTTCAGTTATGACTTAGCTGTCAAAACTTTCTGTTGAAAGCTTAATCCTTCTTGTTCTTCCACCCTGTTTTGAGAACAAACTCACGTTCACTTGATCTCTCTTTTTTAAAAGAAAGAAAGAAAGAAAGAAAGAAAGAAAGAAAGAAAGAAAGAGAAAATGTTGCCATTTACTTAACTGGAGGCTGTTTTGTTGGGAATATCAGCTGCATTCTCCAGCTGAGAGCGGCACGTTACCAAACAAGAAGAGAGCTGTAAATTCCAGGAAGTAAATGGATTGGGCAAATAGAGATGTCAGTCTTTTTTCAACAGAGAAAGAAAGACAGGGTGAGAATGAGTTAGGATAGCCTCCTGATTTCCATCATTCTTTTCTCAAGACAGAAATCCATCATTTGACTGTGTTCCAAATGCGGCCATGGGCGTCATCGTGGAATAACAGCAAGACCAAGCAGGCCACGGAAATCAGTTCTTACCATCGTGGCATTTTGGTCCTGCATTTTAGACTTGGCAATGTGAGATGTTCCAAGGCCTGTGTCAGGATTGCTGGAGAAGACAGATCGGAACTGACAGTCTACCCAGACAATTTATTGAAAGAAAGAAGGCTGCCCCCCACAGCAGTACTTACTACCAGCTAGTAATAGTCTCTTAAGTAGCACATTTCAGGCTTTCAGGGCACATCACATACATGATCTCCGTAAACTTTAAAACAGTCCTGAAAGGTAGAGTAATATAATTGTCCTCCATAGCAAATAGTGAGCTACTGAGAGGTCACCTTTGGGAGTTTATAGTGGAGGTGGAATTTGAACCAGGGTCTTCCAGTCCCTCACACTTAGGGTGGGACTTCTTCTTCTTTGACGATCAGTCTCCTCCTCCTCCTCCTCCTCCTCCTCCTCCTCCTTCTTTTCTCCTTTGGTGATCACTCGTAGCCAAGTAAGATTGTCTTCCATGAACACAGTCTTAGCAGTGAGTCCATAAGTGACTGTGGAGGCCAATTCTGGATCCACACGTCCTTCCACAGTTGGGGACATAGATTTCTGGGCAGGAGTTGATCACAGTGAGGGTTTGCCAAATGTGCCTTCCTCTTAGCACATTTCTCCCTTTCATCCTGAGTTCTCCAATTCAAGCCCTTGCAGGCCAGTGTTTCCCAATTGTCGGCGTTTATACTACATTTTTTTAGATTTGCCTCGAGAGAGTTCTTTAAACCTCTTTTGTTGCCCACCAGCATTACGCTTTCCATTTTTAAGTTCGGAATACAGTAGTTGCTTTGGAAGACAATGATCAGGCATCCGAACAACATGACCAGTCCAACGAAGTTGATGTTGAAGAATCATTGCTTCGACACTGGTGATCTTTGCTTCTTCCAGTACACTGGCATTAGTTTGCCTGTCTTCCCAAGTGATGTGTAAAAATTTTCAGAGACACCAGGGGTCACAGCAACAACAAAAACCCATACACAGTTCTCACCCCTCTCATACTAGACTTGCCCAAGTGGTTTTCCTGCCCCACCTGAGGCAGCCAATAATACAGAGCTGCTGCTCTGCCTTGCTCTCATGATTGAGGGGCCCCAGGGCCACGTGACCTACCACGTTGTGCGTTCAAGCCCTGCAGTGTGCACACATGATGTCCGCACATCCGCGTGGCATGCGCACGCAGTGTCAACAGGCCCATGGTGTGCTGACGCCACTTGCACACACAGCGGGCCATGGCGACGTGTCGCGCAGATGCTCTGTGCCATGTGTGCGTGGCCACCACAGAACTTTAGGGGCCCCGGCCCCTTCATTGAAAATTTGGAGGGGGCCTTGGCCCCTCGTGTTCCCCCCCCCAAAAAACTTGATGCTGGTAATACAGAGTATAGGAAGGTAAATGACACCTGCAGAACTGACTAAAAGCCACAAGAAGAGTGAGAGGAGAGATTTTCTAGAGTAGCAGTTTTCAATCTGTGGGTCCCCAGATGTTGTTGGACTACAACTCCCATCATCCCCGAGCTCTGGCCTTGCTAGCTAGGGGTGATGAGAGTTGTAGTTCAACAACATCTGGGGGGCCCACATGTTGAGAAAGGCTGTTCTAGAGGCTTGCTGGTTTGGGCAGCATTTCCTTATCTATCATCCCATGAAGCATCTTCCCTTTGCAGTCACAAAAGCTGCCAGTAACTCCCATGTCTGTCCGGGGAAGGACGTTGATTTCTACAAAAGGAACAGGGTGATGGTCCGAGAAGCATGCATGAACATTCCTGTTCAGTTTCTGAAGCGGACCGTAATTGAGGAAATAACTGTGTTCGGTTCCACAAGACACCTTGCTGTTTGGGGGGGCTTCCGGTGCCTTTTGCTTCCATTTGAACCCAGCAGGATTAGCTGCGCTCAGTGCTTAGGATACCTGGTCCACTGCCATTGACGATTCCAAGCAAAGAGCCTGTGATTTCAGTGCGTGCCAAATTGAGGTGGTCAAAAGCAGCCTCTGGGCATGATGAAGTTGAGCAGGAGCTGCTTCAGAAATACAGTTCAGTAGAGGAAAAATCAGTTTCGTTCTGATTGGGAGTGACAATCCTCCCTTTCTTCTTCAAGATGAAGTGAACCTGACACAATGCACGGGGATTCCAAGTAATAGGGTCATAATCACTGGGCACTTGCACTGCCTGCAATTGCATAAATGTTACATGCAAGTGTTTTAAAGTCATTTTATCATGAAAAAGGAGGCAATTTAACATAACTATTACCCTGTGCTCTTCATGAAAAATGCATTAAGCAATTACAACTGAAAGTAAGAGGTCTTAGGGAAGCAACACACTGCTGTAGGCAATATGCCCCGGCAGCTGCAAGGATGTGTGATGTATTATTAAATGCCTTGATTATTAGGAAGGGGGTGGTTCCCATTAAGGGGAGGGGGTGTCTGTCAAACAGAGAATGTTTGATAATCCTCTTGGTGATCAATTTTCTTCTTGTTTTGGTGGGACAGGATTGTGTGTTTTTTTCCAAAGGTAGTGCGTTGTGCAGCTTGGCAGTATTAATTAGGCAGGTTCCTTTGCTCAGGAGGCCCTCTAATTGTGGCTTGCTCCTTCTGCATGGGGTATCAAAGAAACCAGGAATGACACACATGCACACTGTGCTCTTATCAAAAGCCTTGCCTGGAGCTTTGTTCCCCATTATTCCATCCTTCAGGGCTTCACTGACACACCGGTTTGACATTGCTGTTGGCCAATCGCATGCGCCCGGGGATTGCAAAGGGGAAAGTTGGTGGCAGT